AAAAAAAAAAAAAAAAAAAAATTTTTGCGGGGTGCCGACGACCCCTGACCGGTAGGTGCCGACCAGCCGACCGGTCGACGGGTCGGCAGCCGACTAGTCAAGGGCCGCCGACTGTTGGCGTGTGCAACACTGGGGGACAATCTGTATTTTTTGCTACCCTATTTTCTTCTCTTAATCTTGTATCTACCTCACCTTAGCTACCTACCTGATGGGTTATCTCTAGCCCAGAAGCAGCAGTTCTCTGCTCAGGAGCCAGCTTTAAAGTCACCAACTATGCCTAAGCTATCCTAAGGTTATGGGTTTATTCCTACCTGATTCACTGTCTTATCATTTGAGACTAACAGCACATCTCCTCTCTTCCTCTGGAAGAAGAGAAGCTCCCTTTTTCCTGCACTACTCACTTTCCCTGACCGGATCTCACATTGATTATCTTCAGACGAGCTGTGCACCAAGGAATTGCCGAAGTGAAGAGAAACACAAATGCAATTCAGTGGAAGTCTGGAAGCAATTACTCTGACTCATATGTCTTGGACACAGATAATGCACTCAAACATCACCTGCAACAGCAAGGAGGGAACCATAGTCCCTCCTTGCAGATCACGCACATGGGGAGATAACCATAGATGGTGGCAAGAAGAGGAGGATAAAATATGAGGGAAGATGAGAAAGAGAGTCCAGGACGTGATACTCAAAACTCAGAATAGTGCAATAACTCGCTCCTAATATGCTATTGTCGTCGGCCAGGGGCTGCCACAGGTCGCAGCAAGGACCTGCGCCAGATCGTGGGGAACAAGGCCCGCCAAAACAGGGCTTCAGAGGCCCTGCGCCGACAGTTAAAGTCAACTGTACCTCAAGAAGTTGAGGCTAACGAGTCAAATTCTGCATGAACCCAGTCCAGGCCACCGATCAGACACACACACTTGGCTGTACGCAGGTATTCAGGCAGAATATGGTCCAAGTGGAAGTCTGCAACTGTACACGATCCAGGCCCTCGGCTGTAAGTCAATCTGAGCCTTCGTACCTGAGGGACCAGAGACTGGTCAACTGCGACAACACTATTTAATGACCCAGTCCCTGTTGGTCAACACTCGGTCTTGCACTTGCTGCATGACGCTGGCTTGATGCTGCCAAGACGCTGGTACTACGCGGGGCATTGTGCGATGATGACGCGGGACTGTTGCATTGCGTGCTGGCGCCTCTCTGCTTTGGCGCCAGCTGTCTACTTGGTTGCTGCACTTGCAACGCTGTCTTCGGCATTGCTGATGTGGCGCATGCCACACGGTCTTCGACGCAGATTGGGGAATCGGCACGCGGGAGATCAGGAACTGTGGGATTGAGTGAGTGAGAGAGAGGGAAACTTACCTATTAATGCTGTCGACATTTCGCGCTGCTGTGACGTCTTCAAGGGAGATCTGTGCCTACGTGGCATTTTACTGTGATCCGATCTTGTCAGACTCGTTTCTGGGATACTGTTTGCTGACGTGGAAGTGGGGAGCTGCCCGAAGAAGAAGTGTGGTTTGAGGGAGATCTATCTACAAGGACATTGATGGATACTTTCTTTTCCACCCTCAGTCTTTTCTCCCTCCTTTCAGCTTCGTCCTCTGGTTACAAGACATTGTATTACAGATCACATTTCATGATTATTGGAGACATTTATCAGCACTGAGACATCTTGTGTTTTCGACACTGAGGAGTTTCCTCCAGACTGGGTTCATTACAACAGCCTCCTATCACAATTGCCTCTGAATACAATGCTTTAAGTTTTTGATCTCTCTCTGGAGTCAAGGAGGAGAAGGCAGATATGGAGGGGGAGGAGAAAAAGAAGAACATGAAATCTCTCTCTCTCTCTCTCTCTCTCTCTCTCTCTCTCTCACACACACACACACACACACACACACACACACACACACACACACACACAAACAAACAAACAAGCACACTCACAAACAAAAACAAAAACAAAAACAAACAAACAAACAAACTCACACACACACAGAATTCACAGGAGCATACCCTGTTATAATGTGCAAGTGGGCCGTTAAGGCACACGGGGATGTGGGCAGCTGCCGCTTAGCCACAATCAACATGGGAAGCCCCTTGTACGTGCGAGGCATAGTAAAAGAGGAGCTGTTGCCCCAAACAGACCCCAACTAAACACAGTTCCAAATGGTTCTATTATGATTCATGTTATGATCCTGGTCAATTTCGAGATACGCATCCATCAGATAGTACAATGCCGCCCAATTGCGGAAAGAAATGAATGAACTTGAGAGAAGAGAGAGGATTAGAAGAAGAAGAAGTAAGAAAGAAGAAGAAGATGATGTACACCAGCATAGACAAATGACAAGGCTCTTCTTCTTCGCCCAACAATCTCCTCCTCCTTATCTTCCCCTTCTCTTGTTCATACAAGGAATAATAATACAATGTTGAATGGCTGATCCAGAATCAACGTCCGAGTCCCTCTTCAACTGCAGGTATCACTTGAGGTCCACCATAGCCATGGCCGCCTCCGCACTCTTCACTCTCATAGGCCGAGGCTATGGCGGACTACTAGGCCTTGCCCAGATGCCCAAAGGACAACCCAAAGCAGCTATGGCTGCTCTGGCTCAGGCCGCTATGCCCAACCCTGCCTTGAAGCTTCTTGGTTGGTTCTCCCCAGTTGGGGACTCCCTGCTGCAGCGCCCACCAAGGTGATGAAGATGGCTGCCACCATAGCCAGGTAAGTACCCCTGGCGCTCCTCCCCCTTCCTTCCTTCTTCCTCCCTCGTGTCCTTCTCCTTCCTCCCCCAGCAGCGCTGCTCCAGCATAGCGCTGCTCCAGCCAGCGCTCCACCAGTGTGTCGCCAAACTTGCAAACCGAAAAAGAGGCCGGACTCTCCGCCCGGCCCAAAGATATAGCAGCCTGCTTTGCCTCTTGGGCGGTGACTTCCAGGCCGCTTGGCCTCCCAAGCAACAGGTACCTCCTCCTTTTTGGAGGGAAACATCATTGCAGACCGACTCTGATATTGCCCGTACAGGCCCTAGACTCAGACTGGTATCCGCCTAGACCTAGCCTACACTACTGGGCCTCTAAAAATGCCACTTTTGTCTTCTTCTGCTCGGCCTCCGGTACCTGCACATCTACCCCTTCCAGGTGCGGTACCGGCCTACCCGCTACTTGAGTGCTTCTYCCCGCTGCAACCCCTCAATGTYACGGCCACAGGTAAGTACCGGCCCTGAGGGCCCAACGAACGAGCAAGTGCCCTGATGGGCCACACACATACTCATGCCAACCAGCACTCAGACAGGCACGTCACACACACACCCAAGCCAACCAACACTCAGACAGGTGTGGTCACACACACACTGAAGCCAACCAGCACTCAGACAGACATGCAGTCCAGCAAGCGTGCACACAGACTTAGTAGCAGGCGGGAAACTCAGCAAGGCATTCAGTCTATGAGCAAAACTCAGAAATCAGCTGTGTGTTTCAGTCCATGTTTGGACGGGTCATCACATTCGTGTTGCTTGCCAAAGAGGTGAAATTCTTTAATTGTTGGGCTGGCTCAACTTGAATCTACTCTTCTGGGTGGAGTGTTGGTCCTCGGTCTACGCCCGGTGGTTTTTAGGGGTGATTCGATGAGGGACCTAGCTAACGCGTTAAACACTCGCCTGGGGAGTACGGTCACAAGACAAACTCAAAGGAATTGACGGGGGCCTGCACAAGCGGTGGAGCATGTGGTTTGATTCGATACAATGCGCAAAACCTTACCAGCCCTTGACATATGAAAGAAACTCGTCGTAAGAGAGGTACTTTGACTTCATACAGGTGCTGTACACGGCCTGGTATGTCCTATTCATCTGATCACAGCTCGATTCGAACTTGGGTCTGTATCTCAACAGTTCATAGGGTTACCAACTGAGCTAGGCCCGTCATGGTATGTCCTGTTTGTAGACAGTGCTTGGAATGCCAATGTCTATACAATTCCGATTGGTGTCCCTCTGCATTCCTGGCATGTAGGAATCACATTGCCTGTGACATCTGTCTATGCCACGCCGTTTGATGCAACAACTGCAACTGTGAGAATTGGATGTGATGTTTCCACAGTCCACAACCGAACCGGTCCTGTCCGATCGGCAGGGGTGGCTCCTCAATTCATTTTTCTCTGCAACCCGAACGGTGACTGCCTGTTTGTGCCATTCTCTAGCAGTCTGCTCTGTCGGTGAGTATTTACCTGTTCCGTTTCTTCCTCCCTCCATCTCCCTCCCCTTCCCTTTCTCCCTCCTCCCTCCAATTGTGCAGAACTACTAAATTCATATGAGCGAGCATCATTAAGAGAACGGACAAAGTATAAGGCGCAGGTGTGCTGAAAAGTGAACAGGTGTGTGTGCATCCCATCTTTCCTTCTGCTGCTTTTACTTCTCATGTACACACACACACAGAGGGTGGTAAGCGGGGAGGGATGGCGTTTCTTGCATGTCTGTCTGCCTCGTTTGCTCTCTCTCCTTCATCCCCCTCCCATGGCAGCTGAATGGAAGTGATTGAAAATGTGCCTTCCTGGGTGAAGGCTGGTTTTGCTTTTAAATGTGAGGACCTGTAACTTAGAAAACCTCACCACAATCCATGGTGGAAAGACTTTTTACATCTGCTTAGCAGTTTCCTCAAATGATTTCCCTCAGGCTGTGGGTGGCTTGTGCAGGTAGGGTTATCCCATTCTGCTCTTCTGCGTACCGTCCTTGCAAGGGCCTGTAGAAGACATGGTCTTCCATGGCCATGCTTTCCCGAACAAGATGATGGATTGCGTCACTCTGACTCAGACACTGCACAGGAGTCTGACGGTGCAGCTAGTAAGCATCATGACAACGTGCAGGGGGGAAGAAATCCAAATTTGACAATGAGGCCCTGGCGAAACACCTCTGCCGCAGCTAGGCCTACTAAATCGCAGGCTGTTTATGTTCTATTTGGTGGAGCCACCTCCGAGCGCCAGGTGTCACTCATCAGCGGGACAAATGTTTGGCTGAAGCTTAGGGAATTGGATGAGGTGAGTGGAAACGTGGGGGAAGATGATGTTAATATCGTACTGGAGTGGTTTATCCTAGGAACAGAGGAGCAGAACATAAGAATGAAATGAAGCTGATGAAGGAAGAAAGGAGTGGTACTTAATGCTGTAATGGAAGTAAGAAAAGCGAGAAATAAGCGAGAGGAAAACGGCTTTCCACCACTCATTGATGAACGAGTTGTTGAATAATTAGGGCCAGAGCTTTCAAGGGGTGTCAGTGAACGAGTTCAGAAGCAATGAAGGACAGGCCTGCAGTGGCATCAAGAAAGTCATTCATGGCACTCGTCAGGGTTTTCACCCCCCGACGATACCAGCCCTTGACTGGTCGGCTGCCGAGCTGCCGACCGATCGGCTGGTCGGCACCTACCGGTCGGGGGTTGTCGGCAACCCGCAAAAAAGAAGCAGAAAGGGGTCCAGATTCCAGAACCCCTAATAACACCACCAACACCCCCATAGCGGCCCTCTTTACCCAAATACACCCCCCCAACACCTCCAAACCGCCCCCAACACCGTCATTACACCCCCCAATACCCCCTATATCACCCCTATACCCTCTATATCACCCCTATACCCCTCTATACCCCCCCCCTATCCCCAACCCCAACCCCCGCATGCCCCCCCCAATCCCCAAAAGTTTCTCAGCGGATTTGGGCTGTACTCAGCAAGCGCAGTACAGCCCCCAACTCAGATTTGAAAAAAAATCAGTGGATGGTTGTTTTCTGACTGGTCAGCAGACCGCCGACCGGTCGGCCCTACTGGTCGGCTGCAATACGGTCAGCGGTCGGGGTTGGCAGTTGGAAGGGATGCAGCCCTGGCACTTGTACAAATAGAAGGGACATTTCTTAGGAGGGTTGGTTTGTTTGCAAATAATAATTCGAAATGAAGACCTGCATAGCCTTTTGTTTGGCCTATCTTTCATTTGGAGCCTCAACTGGTAACAAGCACCTATGGCTGAAGAGGAGGGAGAGGGTGCGAACACAAGTGCGGCCATGCTCAGGGGTCCAGACAATCTGTGGTCTGGGGTCTGGAATCCAGACTTCCAGAATTGTCTAGATTAGATTCAAAATATTGTGACCCACCTATCCAACCTCACTAACCACACAAGAATAAAGAGGACCGTGGAGAAAAGCCTAGGGGGATGCCCATTCACACTGCGGTCCAACAAAGCGGACCAAAGCAACCGCAGCACAGCAATCCTTATACCGTCTACCTCCAAAATCTGGTCTGAGGGTCTGGTAAGCAACGGCGAAGGCGACACAACAAAAGGCAGATGGTCATGGATCCAAATTACATGGCAAGGGGAAGAGATCAGGATCCTAAACGTATACGCCCCTAACACGGAAGTCGAACGCCTAGTGTTTTTTGACCACATCAAATCACTATTCCGGACCCCCCTACCGCTAATTATTGCAGGTGACTGGAACACCACGCTCGACCCCAGCCTGGATTGTATCTCCCGGACAGTGCTGCTGGGGCCCACAAGACCGAGCACTCACCTACGGAACATCATGATAGAGTTCAACGTGGTCGACCCATTCCGAATCCTCCACCCACGCAAGAAAGCCTTCTCCCTAGTCAAGAGGAACCGCTCTAACCACACGTCACTATCACGAATCGATTTCTTCTTAATTTCCGACATGCTACAGGGGCAGTCAAGGAGGCAGGTATCCTACCAGCAACAGCCTTTAAGGGGCTTGACCACAAACCAACCTACTTGCTCCTTAACTTCAACTCTTCGGTCGAAAACGGTAAAGGCTTCTTCAAACTCAACAACTTACTCCTATCCACGGAACGCATGACCGAGGCAGTCAGATGGAACTGGTGGTTCATACAGCAAGACGAGAAGAAACGCCAGGACAGGCACAAATGGTTCATAGACAGCTATATGTTCCTAGCTCAGACGGTCTCAGCAGAGTCTAGAAGCATAGCAGCGAAACGCAAACACAGGAAGGAAGAACTACAAATCACACTCGACATCGCAGAAACCAACCTAGCATCTGATCCCTCCAACTCCTTCTACCACAACCTACTCCAATCTCCCAAGGATGAACTAAACGAATGGAGAAGATGAGAACTCAGAGGCCTACAGATACGCGCCCGAATGAAGGACTACATCCCGAATGAATCCATGTCCAAGTTCTTTTTTTCCAAGATCAAGGCGAACGCAAGGAACAGCACAATCGAGGCGTTGAAGGACCCAGCAGACCAGGGCACGACAAAGTCAGTTGGCGCAGACATGGTAAGAATAGCCAGGTCCTTCTACGCTGACCTCTGCGATTCTAAAACCCCCTCCCCCCCTCCAACAACAAATCTTAACGCCCGCCAGCATATGATGACCTACCTTGAGAGAACGATCACCCATGAACAAACGGAGGACTTGGAGAAACCAATCACCATAGGCGAACTCCACACAGCCTTGTCCCAGATGGGAAGCGACAAAGCACCCGGAATTGATGGCCTGTCCAAAGAATTTTGGATTCAGTTCTGGCCAACAATGGGCAACGACCTCTTGAAGTTCATCAATGACAGCAGAGAAAAGAGAGGCTTGGGTCAATTCCTAAGCACTAGCATAGTGTCGCTAATATACAAAAAGGACGACAAGGAGGACCTCAAGAACTAAAGACCAATCTCACTTCTCACAACGCCGTACAAAATCCTAGCAAAGGCATTAGCCAACAGAATCATAAAACTAACAGACAACTGCTTCCACATCGACCAAGTAGGATTCATCCCGGGTCGATACATTCTAGATAATGTGATGGCTCTAAAGGAGGCTGCAAAGAAGATCACAGAAAAACGAATGCAAGCAGCGATCTTATTCTTCGATTTTGAAAGGCATACGATCAAGTCAATTGGGACTTCCTACACAGCTGCATGGAGAAGATGGGAGTCGACCCAAAGTTCAGAGAGTGGGTTACAGTACTCTATGGGGATGCCACGGGCAGGGTGCAGATAAACAAAATACTGTTCGGTACCTACCCGATATCGAGATCGGTCCGACAAAGCGACCCCCTTGCACCCCCAATATTCCTGTTCATAATGGAAGCCATAGCATGGTTCCTGCGCAAGGACCCATCCATAGACCGCCTGACCGATCAAAACCACAACCCCCTCCACGACTTTGCTCTTCCCACAACACGAATGTTCGCAGACGATCTCACGGTCCTTATCCATGCTAACAACTCCTCCTTCCAGTCCCTGGTGCGCACCATGGAAGCCTTCAGACTCGCTTAAGAAATGAAGGTTAACTAGTTGAAAACGGAAGGGTGGTGGCTCGTAGAGGGCACCCCCCACCAACCCCCAGACAAGGAATGGGGGAGACTCTACTCACCAGAGCAATAACCCAGCTAGCCACCTGTAGCAAAGCCCAGGCCTCCCTTCTAGGGAGAGCCCTGATCATCAACACAACAGTATTCTCCACTTTGTGGTATATGGCCTCCATATGGTGCCCCCCCGACGACGACCTGAAGAAGCTGAAGGCTAGAACCAGGTGCTATCTGTGGACTGGCGACCCCAGCAGAACCTCCTGCATAAACAAGGTAGCTTGGCAAACTGTCATCAGAAACCACAAGGAGGGCTAGGTATAGTCGACCCTAAATAGGAAGTGATCGCCCTCCAAATGAAATGGATAATCAAAATCCCAACCAAACAAGCCCTCCCGTGGACCAAGATGGCGTTAGAAAGCATAAGGAGTTTGGCACCAATAGCGACCCCACCGAACATGAGTGGCCTGTTCTGGATCATGGCAAAGGAATGGACAATCAAATCTGGGAGATCAGTAAGGAAATCTAACGCAGCGACCCCCATCCAGCCACGCACAACACCCACCCCCTACTGGTCACCGATCCCGAAGGCCTGGCGTCATCTGATACCGGAAAAGAAAGAACCCCCAAGCAACAAAGAGGAAGTCCTACGACAGCCCCTGTTCTGCAACCCCTGGATCGAGGACACAGAGGGCAGACCGTGGATCCTCCGGCCCAAAGACCGGAGATGGCTGTCTTGGGTGGAGAGGAGTATGGCAGGTCAAACATCTGTGGTCCGAGGACCGACAAGAATGGCATACCGCACAGGACCTTCGCACTCCCTTAAAAGGCTGCCACCTACCGACCACCAACCTGGCAGAAATCCTCCAAAGCATTCCCCCCCCCATGGACGACCCTCCTAAAAGAGACACATACATGGAAACCAGGAGACTGGGGACTACTCACCACACATGCTCCACCAACAAGAGCCCATTGCTTCGTGTCAAAACCGGCCTCAACTAACTACCAGGCCAATTTTGTCTCCTACCCCATCTGCAAACACAACATATATGATGTAGAGGTCCTAAAAAAAACACCACAGCACGAACAAATAGAAACCTACCACCTCAGGAAGGTTAGAGTCTCCCACAAGAAACCCTGGCTTATATTCCAGCGGGAGTTCAGCATCAAAGAACTGGAATTTGACCCAAAGGAATGGATATGGGATCTAGGGGCGGCCGGTAAAGCGAGGACGATAACAGAATACGACGTTAAGCTCGGATATAGCCTCGGGCTACAAACCAGAGACCCGAATCCAAGGCTGACAGAGAAATGGAGAACCATACTGAACCTAGATGCGACGACCCCCATCTCCATCACATGGACCAAATACCTTCTCATCAGACCAATTAGAATCCGAAGTATGCAATGGCTAATAGCACATGCAGCCCTTCCAGTCAACCAATGGCTACACGTGAGAAGGAAACATTCCGATCCCGATAGCTCAAAATGCTGCTCAATGTGCAACAACGACGCACCCGAAGACATCCCCCACTGCCTCCTCTTCTGCCCTGAAGCAACCTGGATATGGAAGAAGGTCCTTGAGCTATGGTCGATCCTGTTCACCTCGCCACCCCCTAACGTACCCCATCTCTATCCTGCTCCTAACTAACATCCCCAGCAACATCACAGGCAGCAGGGAAGTATGGTTCACCCTGCTCGGGAAGTTGGCTTTGTGGGTGATATGGAAACGCAGGTGCACTCAGACAATTGAGGGAACAGAGGTGGCAAGGGAAGAAATGTGGTCGCTACTGCTGAGCATGGCAGAGACGGAAATCAGGAGCAGATGGCGGAGAATAGTGAACTCAACGAGGCACAGACCAGAAGGACAAGCAACCAAGAAACGTACGTTCATAAGGAACTGGTTGCTAAAGGGCAAGGTGGCAACGGTAAGTGACAACAGACTGAGATGGAAGAAATGGCATCAGACACAATCATGAAGACTACGAGGGTACCTGCCGGGAGACCTGGCTGAAGGCGCTGTATGGTGATCAACAACAGGAGGTCCGGAAACACAGGGAAGGACAAGGACAAACAACAGAACACAGAGCGGACCCCCCCCACCGTTCTCGTAATACAGGGACTCATTCGACAGGCCGTAAGTAGAAGCCTGAGAGGAACAGATGGTCAGGGCAAGCTGACAGTCAATCCTCCTCAGAAGGAGTAATCAATGCTGGTCAGGGGTCCTTTGGCCAGACGGAAGGAAGTGTTGAGTGATTAATATGTTGTAACCATACTTGCAAGCGCACGTTGTGTGGGCGGTTGTGCGGGGAACGACCCGTCACCCCCCTCAGGAAAAAAACAAAAGGCCGGGTTCGAAATGGTGCGTTTGAGGCCCCCCGCCAAACTTACAAGCGAGATGGAAAAAAAAAATACAGAAGTACTGCCTCACCTTGCTCCTCCTTCCCTTCCTCATCCTCCATGTCTCCTCCTCCCTTCTCCTTTTCATCTCCTCCGACTCGTCCTCCTCCTGTTCGTCCTCCTCCTCCTGCTCTTCCTCATCCTCCTTGTCTCCTCCTCCTCCTCGTACTTCCTCATCTTCCATGCCTCCTCGTCTCCTTCCCTTCCTCATGTCCTCCCCTTCCTCGTGTCCTCCCTTTCCTCGTGTCCTCCCCTTCCTCGCCGTCCATGTTTCCTCCTCCTCCTCCCGCTCGTCCTCCTCCTGCTGCCCTTCCTCTTCTCCCTCCGTCCATCTCTTCTCCTCCCCCCATCTCGACGACTCCTCCTAGTCGTCCTCGCTATCCTCGTCGTCCTCCTCGTCCGCATCCTCCTCCTCCTCTCCATATCCCCCTCTCCTCGCCATATCCCCATCTTCCTGTCATACACCCCCCCGTTCCCCCTCCCAGAAAAAAAATAATAATAATAATAAAAATAAAAAACCTGCACGATTCCGCATAGGCACCCCCCGCACGGAACTCCGCACGAATGTGCAGCTCGTGCAGTTGCAAGTATGGTTGTAACCCTTTTTCGACTTGCCGGGGGAATAGGAACCGGACTGACGCTCCCCAGAATGGATATGGAGCCAGGACCATAAGGACCCTGTTTTGGAAAAAAACCAAAAGAAAAAAAAAGAAAGATTCAAAATATTGTATTTTACTAGGCTGCAACCCGGGTGGTCTAGGGGCGGGGGAGGGGGGTCGCCCGGGTGTCCCCCTGGGTGCGCTACCTAAAAGAGTCCTGGGCATGCCCAGCAAGTCCCCCCTCCCCCCCCTCCCTCCTCCTCTTTTTCTACGGGGTCAAGGGGGGCGGTTTTCGGTCTGGTTTGACCCAAACAAAATACAGGCCTGACTGCGTACTGGCAGGATGCTGCAAAACAGGGCCTGCTGGGGGCCGTTCAAATCTTAAACACCTCACCCTTCGCCAAACACCCTACCCGCCATCAGCTCTTGTCGTCCGGCCCCATCCAGCAGCTGCCGTGCCGTCTTCTTTGCCTTCGTTGTCGTGCGCGCGGAACTGCCTCGTGGACCGGGGAATGTGAAAATGGAAACAAAACATTACTTCAGGGCACTTCGTGGTCCGGAACAGATCTGGATGTCCAAACCCAGTCCTGAGTGTTCGGTGTCTGTTGTCCAGATTGGTCTAGTGTCTGGGTCGGCAGTAGCCATGGTGAAATGACTCAAATGAGGGAAAGAAATAGAATGTGCTTCCAGTCTGCTGGACTAACATAAGGAACCCAGCAGGATGTCCAGGGATCAAGGACCACCACAGAAGTAAAAGGAAAAAGAAAAAAAAAAGAATAGAACTAAGCTGGAGTCAATTGGATTGGTCTCATTCAGCGTTACAATTTTTTGTGCTGTTCTCTTTCGTCTGCAGTTCCACGTTCGCCCTTTCGTACTAGCTGCTTCAGATAGCCAACAGCAAGACACAAATGGGGGAGTGCGGCGTAGCACGAAGTCATCTGCGGAAGAAATGACGGTTTGGGCACTGCCGTGAGACCACACATTCCCCCCCCCCTTCCCCTCTTCTTGATTTCTCTCGTCTATTCCTCTACTTGCATCTCTTGTTCTCTTTCTGCTCTTAAATCTCTCTTTTACTGACCAACGGGCTTAGCTCAGTTGATACACCCGTAAACTGTTGAAATGTAGACGCGAGTTCAATTCCAGATGGAACCGCATGAAATCTCTCCTTTACTGGTATATGGTCCTCCTAAGGAAATGTTGGCTGGTGCGCAGCGCGAACATTCTGCACTGTGTTGTGCGCAAACAACCTCACGCTGCTGAAACCTGTTCATTTTTCGATGAGCTGGCAGCCAGCGGCACATGACACACAGGAAGAGAAGAAAAGCAGTATCGTAGGGGATGCGGTGTGTGCGAAATGAGGTGACAATGACTGCAAGAGGAAAGGAGAATTCCAAGAGGGAAAGATGAGAATGGAGAGAGGGGGAAAGAGAGAGGAAAAGACCAAATGAAAAAGAGGAAGAATAAATATGTAGCTTGTTCGATCGCCATGGATTGACATAGAGGAAAAGGAAAATGCCAAGGTATCTGCGCAGGAATGAGGAAGGGAAAATGTTAAAAAACAGAGAAGAACACTGAAAAAGCCAGAAAGCAGAAGGTGCAATCGCTTCTCGTTTACTCCAACTGACATTCAGTGATGCCAACTGCAAGTGCTGATCTGTGAGGCTTCAGACGTCCACGGCGTCCGACAGGGGCCTCTGAGAATGTGTCACCCGGCCCTAAGTAAAGGCTTGGCCTGTAATAGGACTTGGATAATCTGCCAAATGATTGTTGAATGTAGAAAACATAGGTTTGATTAAAGCACCAGTACTTGGCCCAGCTATCGGCTGCGGAAAAAAAATAGAGCAGAAATGTTTCTAGTCAGATCAATTTGGGCGCTCCTGTAGTGGCCCGTATGTTTCCCAAAATCGTGGCTTGTTAACGGGCACGACTTTAGGAAGTACTGGTGGTTTAAGAATCGATAGTCATCTTGCCTCCAGGCTTCTGGGAGGCTGGCGTGAAGCAGTTGGAAGGAAGGCTGGGTCCAGCCCCTCCAACTACCTACCGTCTTCGCCCGAATATAACGCCCGGTCATTATCGCTGCATCTGGACCGAAAGTTGTGCCAAATACAGCTCTAATGACCGGGCGTTCTATTTGGGTGAAGACGGTAGCTGAACGGCCACCCTCCCAGTTAGCTACAGAGGCTGAGGCCCAGGTTCCCAGTCCAGAAGGTTCTGAGACTGGGATGAGCCCAGTACCAGCCAGGCTGTCCCGGCCTCCTGCAAGGAACAAACAGAGAGGAGGCCGCAGCATCCCACACATTCGCACGTACTGGCTACCAGCACAAGCCCTGCTTGATCGCCGGCAGCCCAGACCATTGCATCGAAGGAGGAAGGGGAATAGCAGCCTCAGGCTAGCTGCTCCGGTTGCCGGCTGCCACAGCTGCGGCGAGGAGGAAAATGGGGGCGCTGGGGCTGGGGTGTTAAGGGATAAGGACAGTGGTGGGAACAGGCAGGCTTACCTGGCAATGTCTGCAGTATTGTTAGGCAAGAGGAGAGTGGACACAGAGAGTGTGGCGCGCGAGAGAGAGAGAGACAGAGAGAGACAGAGAGAGACAGAGAGAGAGACAGAGAAGTAGGCCGTGTATAGGGAGTCAGTAGGAGAGTAGTATAGGCGGTCACATTATAGGATAGCTGCTACGTTGTGGTTGTATTGATGAGCGAAGGCGAGAAGTTGGCTTTCATTATGAAGAGACTTCGGTGTCAGTTGGGCCTGCAACTTCGCTGATATATGCTGGTTGTGCTTTGAGTTTTTTTTTGCATGGGAAGTTCGTGTTCTCGTATATTGGTTCCTGGCAGAGCTAATCAAAGGGGCATGGAGGTTGCCAGAGGGAACTGGCGGTGTTTTTCCTAGTGCCTGCAACTGTTTCCCTGATTTCTCAGATGGTAGTCTTGTATCATGTATGTGTTATGTAACTTATGTTTGCTCTTGAGTGTGAGAATATGCTGGAGTTTGTTTGTTTGAATTTTGAAAGGACAAGAATGTGCTGGATCATCTAAGTCTTTGTTTTCCTTTTTTCTCTGTATGTTTTGTTTTTTCAAGGTACAAGAATGTGCTTAAGCATACTGTGGAAGAGGTGGTGGAGGACTGTGAGAGGGCATGTGATGAAGCTTCACTGGAGTCTTCACTGGAGTCTAAGTTTTGCACATTGGGATCTTGGTCACCCATGGTGTCTCTGAAGATGCAAGTCAGGGAAGAGTTGATGAATGCTGGAATAAGTCTCAACTTGGATCATCTGGAAAAGCCGCGCAAACTCACCTTGAGGAAATGGATATCCGAAGCAGCCGAAAATAATGCTGTGGCATTTATTGCAGGTATATCTTATGTGAAACGCCGTTGAATTAAAATAATGTCTTCGCACAATCTACGCATGTTTGCCTTCACTGAGATTGGCCATTTGAAGCCTGTCCCGTTTACTGATATGCCTCTTCTCTGAATTGGCAGTCTGTAGGAAACTGGATAGTGCCCGATTTTCGTGAGTTTGGGTTAAGTTAAAATTTTTAAGTAAATGTCAGTTATCCGAATGCAGGACTTATGCCCCAAAGTCTGATCTGTTGACGTCAGAACTAAACGAGGATTCAGTCCATCTGCTCACCTTAGGAACGAGATCCGAGCGGGAAGAGGACGGGCGGGGCCCCTCAAGCTCCGCTGAAGGAGAGAACTTTCGAGTACGGCAAAGAATTGACGTTGTGACAAAACATAAATACGGCAATACCCATAAGCTGGCATAAGGATCTGTTTGTTAAAAAAAAAAAAAAAAAAAAAAAAAAAAAAAAAAGCCTTTTTAAAAAGGCAACAAAATCAGGTGAGAGCATGAAGAAGCGAGTCCTGTCTAATCCGACTGACTACTCTTAAGTTTATTTCCTTTCCTTCCGGTCTCCGAAACCACCGATGCGAGTTACCTTTCTCACTCTCGTACAAAAATTGACGATATCAACTAATCTCGCTCACTAACGACGTTAACTTGCACACCAAGGACATAACCCCCAACCAAATACCGGTTCCAGTCTTTCTCTCTCCTCTTCCCTTGTTTTCTTTCTCCTTTCTTTTCCCCGCTCACCTCGTCATGTACTCTCCAATGCCAGTATAAAGGATAACGACATCCCTGTACACTTTTTCAGAATCTCTTTCCCTCAACACTGATGCAAACCTCAAGACAGCTACCCCAACCTCCCTTCTCTCAGCCCTCCCCCCC